CAAATAATTTTAAGGTATGAAAACCAAGATGCTGTCGACCTCGGTATGGTCGCGATCTACCTTTGTAGTATGGAAGTTGTTTTACTCTGTATTCGCAACTTGGTGGTATTGTCAGCAAGACCTTTGATGAGTGATAGATGGTGCTAATGGCAAGGCTCACTGACGATGCCAGCAAAACGTCTAGGAATATCAAGTCCACAACTCGAGTCTGTAAATTGCCATTGATACTATGTATTTTAGACAAGATGAGTTGCTCTAAGTCTTTCTGATAATACGACCAAGTTCAAAAAACAAAATAAAACATATTATATAAGTAAATTTAATTGCTTTATAACGCAGATCCCGCAAAAACGCATAATCGCTGACCAACTAAGCATATCGAAAAAAGGCTGACCTTATTAGCAGAGAGTCCAGGTATCTGTCCAGTGCGTGGACAAGCAACAACCGGAGTAGCTTGCAATACAGCACGTCGTTTTTGGCTGCGCCGATTGGCTACCGCATCCTGTGCAGCAACATGTCGAGTAATCACTTGCACAAGTGTGGGCAACAAGGCGAGCAAGCGAGAGTGAGCACTGAAAATGGGAGGTAGGATATATAAAGAAATAAATTAAGTGAAATCGAATGGACTGGTCCACCTTACGATAATTTGAAAATTGAGCCCAGACAAATATAAGGGCTAACGTCCACGTTCGGATTAAATTCATAAGATGATAAATAATGCATGAACTTAAATCGAAAAGTAGTTCAGAATAATGATGAATTCTCCTAAGCTGATTATAAAAAACCCAGTTAAGTCTCTAAATGCATAAGCAAGTAATTTGGAGTTTTCCAAAAAATATATAAAAAATTGATAAAAATAAACTAAAAAAATCAGATTATCTAGACGATTTGCCTTAATAAAACTAAATTTTAAATCAAATGGTATTTAATAAATATTGGTGAAAATATAAACTTAAGTAATATTAATATTTTGACAATCCTCTTAATATTCACTATAAATGTAAAAGTAGTCGACACTAAGAAGAGGAATGAAA